TTTAGACAGTTTTTAACTCTCAGTGTTCGTTTGACTTTGGGACCTGAGGGGACGGAGTTTAGGACCCAGATTCCTCTGCGAGGCTCCTGACTACAGCAGCAGTAATGCTCCAACAATCCATCAGGCGGTGCGGCTTCATAGCTTAGCAAAGTCGCACGAAAACATTTTTGACAGATGTTTGAGCGCCGTGTAGCACATAAAATCGGTTCGAGGTCAGTGAGCACAACCAGAATTCATACATAAGGAGCACCGGATTATAAGGCGCACTGTCGATATTTGAGAAAATTAAAGGATTTTAAGTGCGCCTTATAGTGTGTACAATGCGTTATACAGAAGAAAAGAATATATCACGATATATCGTTAGCGCACATGTTTCAGATTATTCCGCGATGTGGATTTTAGGCCATATCGCCCAGCCCTAGTGTGATGTAATGCAGGTGCCGACCTGTCCGATGCCCAACCAGTCAGCCAGGTCTCGAGCGTTGGCCAGAGCCGTGGACAGCCCAACTACTCGAACACTCTTGGAAGTGTGAGACGAGATGAAGTTGGTCCTGGACACAATGACCTCGAGGACCGGACCTCTGTCCTCACCTGGAAACAGACACAGTGCTAACGCTAACACAGCTAACAGGGAGTCCTGTTTCAGGGCCTTCACATGTTTATATTTAGGACATCATGGGCTACATGGAGCAAAAGCGTTTTTGAGCCGTGGTGAAGAACATACAGGTAGGACCTGCTCCACACCAGCGGGCCCAGGTGTGCTGTAGACTCTTACCCAGCAGGTGGATCTCATCGATAATGAGAATCGCTACTTTCTGGACGTAGCTTCGATTCTGCCAACTCCTGCTGACTCCATCCCACTTTTCGGGCGTGGTGACGATCAGGTCAGCTTTTGCTATGGCTCTCATGTCTGGAGTCACGTCCCCGGTCAGCTCCACCACGCTTCACAAGCACAAGAAGAAACTGTTTGTTGGTGTCATATGAACAGCATTTACAGTGTGTCTGCAGGAGTAACTCGATTATGTTTAAGACCTAATTGATACCAGTTTAAAAACCATGTCATCATTAGCTAGTTTCATGTGTTTAAGGCCTCGTCACATGCAGAGTTTCTCTGTTCTTACCTTTTTCCAAGTTTCTCTTCAATCCTGACCTTCCAGTCCTCAATGCGCTCCCTCACCAGGGCCTTCAAAGGGGCAATATACACGACCTAAACACAGAACACAGGCAAACAATAACTCGATCAAGCTCGGCTAGTTTCCCTACACTGACTGCTCTGCTGCAGCATCTCAGCTGCCTTTGCTGTGTGTTTAAACCACCTGTGCTGACTGCTGCTGGGATCCAGGGGTCACAGGGTAAGGAAGGGTGTGGATCCTGTTGACTACATGAGTGAAACGACCACAGTAAGGCGATCCACAGAGAGCGTTTACACTCATCATTAGGGTTTCTTTCTCCAGGGCTGAAATGCATTTTTATCAAACGGCCAAAAATAACAGTAACATGCAGACCGTTGACAGACTCATTGCCTTTTATAAAGAATAAATCTGTGTATGTGTGCTGTGCATCCATTCATTCACAGTCAGTGGCAACAGCAGGTGGACTGCAAAGCAAACAGTTAACAGACTAAGTGGACGTGGCATCATTCACACCATCAAAGCCCCAGAGCTGATGTTGAAGTAACAGTGGATTCCTTATAAGCAGTGCAGCTCGGTGCGTTGCTGAGGAACCTCCAGGAGCCACAGCTGACTCTGTTAGCGTTGTCCTGTGGGTACACTAACCATCGAAGTAAAGAGCAAAATTCTTCATGACGACTTCCTCTAAATTTGCTAATACAAGTCAAAGTTATGGACGTAACGAGAGTCGTGTAGAACAAAGCTACAGACACCAGAACTATGTTCACATTCCTCAGAGTAGCTACCAGATTACTGGTCATGGCTTTTCCCACTTTGAGCCCTGTTCCTCCTCTTGATGAGGTCATCGCCTGAAACTAAAAATCAGAGGAAACTCTTGAATGAATCTCGTTTTAAACACACGATGTGATCATTACGGTACAGCCAGCATGTGACCGCGTGTTGTTGCAATAAAATGGACTAGCCCGCTGCGTCACTGTTTACCAGTTAGCCCACCATAGTGAGGCTAACACTTCCAGCTGTGCAGACTATGACCATCACACAGTTGCTTATAATGGAGCAGATGTTCACTTCAATTCAGTTTTGACTCTCAAACAAGTGCAAGAATTATGAAAACAAAACCAGAGAGCTCCAAGTTCTGCACCGGTGTGCTTGTTTTCACCTTCCAGCACATCCTTTTCCTTTAATTGATCTATTCCTAAAATCCCCAATGTCCAAACCCACAGTTCATATATACTTATGTAGTCATCTGAATTTACATCATGTCTCAATGAAATGCAGTGTTAGGGCCTGCACAGCTTTGATGGAACGATGCTACGATGACTGTAAAAGCAAAGAGCTGATGCTGTACACGGCACTGCGGAGGGTTCTCTGTTCCTTGCATGCCTACAGAGGGACTCGGGGACGCTACCTTGGAGGACGGATACTTGTTGAAGACCCGGAACATGGCCATCTCTGCTGCGATGGTTTTTCCAGAGCCCGTCGGCGCTCCCAGCAACACGTTGGTGTCGGTGTGGTACAGTGTGTGGAAGATTTGGGTCTGGATGGGGTTGAAGTGAGTGAACTTGTAAAGGCTCTCGTACTCTCGGTTACCCAGAGCAGTCACTGGCAACGGCTGGAGGTCTAGTAGCTCTGAGAGCGAAGAAGTCATGCAAAGGATCATGGGACAAGGGTCACAAGACAACAGAGTTTAAAGGTGGCCACATGATACAATGATTATTAGAAACAACAGAAACCAATGTGAGACGTTTGCATCCAAACTGTGATGCTGATCAGAGTGTAACGTGACCTGGCCCCAGTGTGCAGGCTTGTCCCCAGCAGCTGATGTTGGGCAGTTTACTTTTTCAAACCTTATCGTGATGATCAGTGCGCTCTGGTTCCAGTAAGAGACAGAGCACTCAGAGCTTTTATGTCCAAAGCTCCAGCTGTGGCTGAAGTGGACACACGGCTCTGCAGCTCTGCTTATTATGGCCTTGACTGGTTTGTCTAATAATGAGAAGGTCAGCTGACCAGTCAGTGTCCTTATTTGGACAAACTACACTTATAGCCTTCTAGGCTGTATCTGACATAACCAGTGTGGCTCAAGAAGTAGAGTCCAGTAATCTGAAGGTCAGCGCTTCGACCCTAACAACACCAAAGTGCTGCAGACAGATCCGTGGGTGTAAATGCAAAAATCAATCAATAAATATGTGAACCAAATCAGTGAATACAGCTTCTACTAAAAGGGCTGCAAGTACAGGTCCACCTTCTTCACAGAGCTCAGAGTAACATCATGAAGGCCTGTGGGGGGCACTGTGTGTCTGAGTGTGTACCAGTGTGTGGGGGGTGTCGCTCTGGTAAGATCAGGTCCTGGAAGTTGATAATGCAGACAGCTTCAGCACCGAGCCATCGGTCAGAGACGGCCCTGATGTAGTACTGTGAGGGCAACGGCTCAAAGATGGGAATGGTGAACACGATGTGCTGAGGCTCTCCTGACACCACCTGAGGAGAACAGACGCGTCATTCTCTGTGCTTTGTGTTCATCTGAGCTGAGACTCGTACAGCAGACCTGTTTCTTCTGCAGCAGGAAGTACTCAGAGTGGTAGATGTGATCATTCATGGCATCTTCCACCCACAACCACCAGGGCTCACCCACTGATCCATGGACCTGAACCACACAAAGAACAGCGTTGAATTACAGTCTTTTCAGGGAACCAACACTTATTTTAGTTCCCTGATTAACCCAGGTTCGCCCTGCAAGGCCCGGAGAAACTGCACAAATCCAAGAGCTACAAAAGCCACTGAGTGCAGCTCGTTTGAAAGCCTTTAATCTCTCTCTCTTTTGCAAAAGATGTTTTTGTTTTTTATGTTTGAAAAATGGCATCTGTCTGCACGTCCGTCTGTCTACATGCATCACTGGCCACATCTGTGCATTCTTGAAACATGTGTAGGTGTCATGTAGAAGTCTAACAACAACTGCCATAGTTTGAAACGAAGAAGCAGAAAATTAGTATAAACATTCATCTATCACTGAATTGAAGTTTTGGAAACAGCACAGAAAGAGAGTTAAGGTTTTTAACCCCCCATGAATGTCTGGTACTACTACCACTTAGACCAGGGGTGGGCAACTCCAGGCCTCGAGGGCCAGGGTCCTGCAGGTTTTAGACCTCCCCCTGGGTCAGCACACCTGAATCACACGATTAGTTGATCTCTGGAGAACTTCAGAACATGTTGAGGAGGCCATTAAGCCAGCGCCCCAGGGTGGCTGTGGCTACACTGTAGCTGCCATCACCAGTGTGTGAATGGGTGGATGACTGGATATGTAAAGCGCTATATAAATACAGGCCATTTACCATTTACCATTAAATCAGCTGACACGTGTAAACCTGCAGCACACGGGCCCTCGAGGCCTGGAGCTGGACACCCCGACCTGTGCCAGAGGGAAACCCAGGATGTCTTACACATCATACGCTCTGTGTGTCCCTGTAAAGTCACATGAAACTTTCTTTGGCAAAGATGAACATGGATCCTGTAACAGATGGCGAGGACCCACAGAGCCCCATCTCACCATCATGGAGTCAGTCCAATAAGCAGAAGCACTGTGCCCCCCCCTTGCTAGAGTCCCGAGGTGACCTGGAGCTGGGTTCTGTTCATGCCCACCTGTGAGCGTGTACACAGCACTCGGGGGAATCACTTGAATTTGGGGACATGACGAACATTTGAATGCCCCGTGCTGATGTTACAACCTAACTCACCAAACCAGCAGGCAGTTTGCCACAAACAGCCAACGCTGCTTGGAGAATGATGTCATCCTGTATCATAATGAGTCAGCGTGGTGCGTTTCCTGGCCGCCACCAGGGAAGTGGCTCATGTGTCGGTGCATGTGTCGCGGCTCTGCAGCAGGATCACAGTTAAGCCAGCCGGTATTCCATTACCACTCTCCCATGATTGCAGCATGCATTGCTAATCGGACATAAACATTCATCTTCGTATTCAGCCCTGCAACGAGCTTTCTGTGCGTGACAAACTTTGGACTAAGCTTCACATGATCCCTGCTGCCCACTAAGGTGGGACAGGCTGGCTCTCAGGGACAGATGGAGATTCCCTGGCTGGGAGAAGAAGGTAGGTGGGGTGCTCTTCTTTGGGCCAGTGTGGAAATATGAATGTCTGTGAGTAGTTTTGGTATGTATCTGGTGCCCGAGCACAGGAGGAGAACGAACATATGGACAGCCCAGCTCTCCCTGGACTCCTCATTCTTCTGTGCTCAGTAGGAGGGAGCGTCCATCGGCCTTAAGGTCCGCACGTCTCTGAGCAAACTGCCCCGATGCATGCATCAGTATGTGACACCATAATGTGTTTAAAAGCATAATTAAAGGGGTGGATGATATGTTCACAGCAGAAGCCACGATGTAACCTGAGGAGGGGGAACTTTGGGAGAGGGCTGGAGCCTTTGTTATTCCAGAGTGTCCCGTGGTGAGAGGCGCTGTGTGGGGACGAGTCCCTGATTGTTCAGAACAGCCAGGCTCCTTTCAGTCTCTGGGTCTTGGAAGCGGCGCTGCCCGCAGTGAGCTCAGAGGGGAGGGGCCTTTGCTGCTGCAGCTCCTAACATGTGACACCGGCGCCTCCTCTGGCTGGTCACCTCCTGTTGATTTCATTTTTGTTGTTTTCTGTCTTTTTCATTTGAATCTGTCTTGATGTCTTTGCTGTGCAGCACGTTGGTTGTTCTAAAGTCCCTTACAAATAAGGTTGCTATGGTAATGGGCGGCTGGCTTACAGACAGGGCGATGAGCTCGGAGTAGAGCGCCTGCATGCGGTTCGGGGATGTTTCCTTGGCACGTCCCTTTGGAGGTTTTCTGGGTAGGACTAACTGGGCGGTGACCCAGGACATGTCATCTGGCCTGGGGACACTGTGGGATCCCCCAGGAGGAACTGGAAAGTGGGGAGAGGGCGTCTTTCCTCATGTGGTGCATTTTCCATTGTTACACCTCTCTGTTCCCCATGTGATGTTTGTGTCATGTATGTGTGGTCGGAGGGTAACTTCCCTCGGGATGAATAAAGTATGATCAATCAATCAATCTGGAATGTCCTGCTTAGCGTTCTGTTCCCTTGGGTCACCTGAGGCGATGGATGAAAGGACGGACGGAGGCTTGAACTGTAAATATGTCACAGCAGATCAAAGGTTGGTCTAACCCTGACATCTGCCCCTCACACTCAGGTCAGCTGTAAAACATTTGACCGTCTCTGGAAAATGCTGCACGGCGAACCATCCTGACTCAAGGATGCGTAATCTGTCTGTACCTGGTCATTCCAGCGAAAATCAGGCGTGACGATGAGACGAACACGCAGCACGGTGCGTGTGATTGGCTGGATGGTGGCCTCCATTGAGATCGAGGGGATCTGGTGGACACACTGTTTGACCGTTAACCCGATGTTGACGTGGTGCAGCATGTGACCTGGAAAAAGTACACCTGGCATTAAGGTGTTTATTAAAACCAGTGTGCGTGAACTTTCTGTTTATCAGCAAAAGCTAATACTTAAATATTAGCACTAGTCTGAGCTTCTTCCACTCAAAACACTTTTCTCTTCTTTAAAGCTGCAGTTAATAAAAACAGTATGATCCCGTCAGGACAGACACACGGCTGCACCGGCACGATTTACTGTGGTTTCAATAAACAAGGCAAAGTCGAACAAAGTGCGGTGATGCCAGTGTTGCACAGCAGTGCTGTGAAAGGCCTCTGCAGCACAGAAACACTGCTGCACTCACCAATGTCATCCTTCCTCATCTCCTTCAGTTTGTCCACAGTCAGCTTCTTCTCCTCCAAGCGGTTCAGCACGACGGGGCTCAGGTTGGGGAACTGCCGGAGGGGGTGGGCAGAGTCCCACAGCCGCTTGTCGATCACCTTGCACAGGGTGAGCAGTCGACGGGTCATAAGCGGCCAGCGCTTCCTCAAAGCGATCTCAAACAAGGCCCTCACGATCCGAGCGGCGTTCTGTGGGCGACAGCGGGAAAAACATCAGCCAGAGGTTCCACACTACACGGAGCAGCCGGTGGGCACATCGCTCAGCATCGTTCACCACGTGTGACGAAGAGCAGACGTGCAGCACCCAGAGGTCACATGGTAGTGTTGCTCGCTGTGATTTAGTCAGCTGATAATGTCATGTGACCATGTGGTCCAGGACATGCAGTGTGGTGGGCGGCCTGTGAGCAGGTGGGCACAGGAAGGCCTGCACCTTCCTGTCAACAGTCAAACTACTGATTTAATAACAAATATTATAATAAATGTTTTTGTCTTTTCAGTTCTGAATTGAAAAGGTCGTTTTGATAAACACTGGGATCATATGTGCCGACACGTATGCAGGTGATGTTCTCGAGCAGAGTGGCACGTGCACGCTCTTTGTAGTTTCACAGCCCCGTCGACTCGTGCAGTCAAACCTCCACCCCAGCACCACTCATGAGTGTTTTACACCGTTTGCTCACTGACCAGGGGGGACAAGTCAAAGTCACATGATCAGTGCTCAGCTGTCCATCGCATGTCAGCAGGAAATGAGCTACTGTAGTTTTAGAGCGAGGCTTGTGTGCAGTCATCAGCACCAACATCCTCTGATGTCATTCTAATCATTTCATTTTCAATCAGTCTTCAGGTTTTTTATTTTTCCACCTGCTTCCTTTGGCCCCGCCTCTTTTTGTTCCCATTAAAATCCCAAAAATCAACAGTGATTTAAAATCGTTGAGTCAGTGTGGCAGCAAACACCACAGCACGGGTCTGACTGTGTGCGTATAACAGATGGGTGAATGCAACGCCAGCGCCCTGCAGCACCTCGCCCTGCAGCACCTCGCCCTGCAGCACCTCGCCCTGCAGCACCTCGCCCTGCTGTCCTCACCTGTGCAACATAGGACAGGTCCGAGATGAGCGAGAAGCTGTCCACTTCTCCTCGGCCGATGTACGTCTGCAGCAGGATGTTGACCTTGCCGTAGCCGTTCTCCACACCTCCTGCAGCTGGAAGCTGACAGTAGCTACACAGCATCTGCTCCAGCTCCTCCATCTCCTCCTCTCGAACCTGGCGACACACAGCAACACACCGAGCTGGATTATATGAGCTGTGCTCAGTTGTGACAGAGCTTTTTATTGGATGAACACAAACTGTGCTATTTGATAACTACATACGTTCTGACGGCCACAGCTCACCTTGAGTTGTTCAAACTCCTCAGCTTTGGAGACGATGCTGAGGATGTCGGCTTCTGTTCCCTGAGGGTTGAAATGCTCATTGAACGTCTTCACATGTGGAGGAAAGAGAAACGTTGGTGATTATTGGATCAACCAGAGGGTGTACTGTGCTTACAGGAACTGTAAACTGCTGATGAGAAGCTCCTGGCAGCTGTGCTTCATCCAGCTGCTGCAGCCTGTGTGAAGGACACTATGAACGGTTGTGATGCACTCGTGTGTCGAATAGTTGGAACGTGTTTGGACAGAAGCACTGAGAGCGGCTCGAAACGTGACACTTTCTGTTGTCATGGCTCCATGCTGCTCTGCAGCCTGCAGGTTCTCACCTGCATGCACTCAAACACAGGTACTAGAAAAACAGCTCATCTATAATCCAGCAGGATGAAGTTTAATGCTGATGAGTGCTAGCTGTGCATAAATGCATGGCCTAACACAGCCGCCCAGTACGAGTGTGTCCAACCCAACAGCACTGCTGTGTGTGTGTGTCTGAGTCTGTGTGTGTCTGAGTCTGTGTGTGTGTCTGTGTGTGTGTCTGAGTGTGTGCGATGCTCCATGGACCTCTGCAGTGAGCAGAGTGAACATGTGTGCGGCGTTTACCTCTATGGTGTTATACTTGATGTAGAAGTGGCTCGCAGTCCTGCCCAGGTCTGTGGAGGCGAAGTAGCCGGTGCGCTCGTCGAAGCGGATCATCCTGGCCTTATCCAGCTTCCTGCCCGACTCCACCACCAGATCCTTCCTGTACAGCTCCAAAGCTGGATCCATCTGAGCCCCGCAGCACGAGAAAGACGTCAGTAACACAACAACTTTGTTTTTCTCTTGTGTTTTCAATACATTTAAATCACAACGTTCATTTATAGTTCAGTTATGACCTGGTCTAACATTTCATACAGCATGTGCTAAGAAGCTTGCTGTCACTTCTGAGCAAAGTCTGGATCTCTGAAGTCCTCCAAGAAACCCTGCAGAAACCAACCTTCTACTTTTACACTCGACCTTTCTTCTCTCCTTCCTCGTGTCGGTGCAGCTGCACAGCCAAAGCTGACATGTTTTTAAGTTCCCTTCATGAGCTGCCAGTGCAATCCCCACAGAAAGCTCCACACCTACAGGCCCCTGCACACACGTCACAGTTACAGCCTCCCTCGGCTCGTCAGCTGAACGTGTGCGCAGGTGTGTGTCGGACCCTGATCTTTGATGTAACACAAATAAAAGTATTATTATTGTTCTATTCCTCATTTGGGTGTTTTGTCTTTGCCCCTTCTGGCTGCTGTGGTCCAATCAGCGACCAGCTTTAGGGGGAAGCACTTTTCCACACAGGGCCGTGTAGGTCTGGATTTGGCTCCCACCAAATGAACGCCTTCATTTAGAAACTTTGTGTTACGTGTATCTGTATATCTACATGTGTTTGATGATCTGAAACACTTAAGTGAGACAAACATATAAAAAAAGCACTTTTCCACACCAGTGTACGTCCCCGCCCTCCCCCGGGGACGGCCCCGCCCTCCGGGGATCTGGACCAACCTGAGAAGCTTTGTGGTTGATGCCGTACGCCAGCGGGTTGGCCCTCATGCGAACATAAAGGTAGGTGTAGCTGAGCCACTTCACAGCCTCCTCCACGTTGGTGACCGTTCCCAGAGCAATCTGTAGCAGGAGAGAGAACAGCGGCTCACAGACCTCTGTCGCCATCTAATGGACACTACCTGAAAGCACAGCTGCTCCTCTCTACTCTGCCCAGCAACACGTGCTATTAATCGTTTTCTTAAAGATGTAAAACAGCTTCACAGATTTGAAGACAGCTTGTTTCAAACACTATGACCTGAGTCCATGTTAAATGTTAGCTATGTGCTATCCTGGCTGTCTGCATGTCATCGCTGCCCTGTTCGGACTGTGGAAGCTAAACTTTGCTCAAAGTGAAGCAGAAGGAAACTGCGTTACCTCAGCGTTGAGGTTATCGGCCAGGCTGTCCAGGAACCGACTCTCTATGGCGTTCTGCTGGGTGAGCAGGGTCAGGTAATGGCTCAGCTTGTCGTGGGTGGTGATGATGGTTCCCTCACCATACTTATCAAACTGCGGACGACCTGCTCTTCCAAAAATCTGCATGACGTCCAGGATGCCCAGATCCACCACGGCGCCGCGCTTGGCATCGTAAATTTGGGTACCCTGCATCAGAGCAGAGACAGGTGTGTGAGTGCAGGCGGGGAGCGCTCAGAGTAACCGAGTGAATCTTTATAGCCTCTCAGCATTCTGAAACTAAAACAACAGCTAAAACCACGTTACACTTCAGTGCATGGTCTCACAAGCTGACTGCAGATACGTGAGGCTTTTACAGGAATAACGTTCACATTTGTGAGACGCTTAAAGTTACAGAGCCAATTAAAAGCCCTCAACTACTGACTTTAGATGGAATGTGCAAAGTAAAGGACGCTCTGAGCTCCCTCAGGGTAGCAGGCACAAACACATTAAATCCATGAAGGACCTTGATGATGACAGCGTGAGCCGGCAGGTTCACTCCCCAGGCCAAGGTGGCGGTACAGACCAGGACCTTGAGGTGGCCTCTAGAGAACATGCTCTCCATCAGGCTGCGGTCAGAGCGCAGCATGCCAGCGTGGTGGATGCCAAAACCTTCAGGAAACATTTCTTTCATCTGCTTGTTCCTGGAGCGCTGGATCTGAAAGAGACGGTCAAAGAAGGAGTTTCAGGAGGAGTGGAGGCGAGTCTCAGACTCTCAGCTGTAAGTGTTCACACAAAACAGCAGCAGCAGTCGGGAATCAAACATTTCCTGTACAGTACATGCAGTAATCAGCCACTGGCAGCCTACTACAGCAGAGTGTAATACATGCACACGGCTGTAGGCCTGCTGCACACTCCAGCAGCATCTGCAGCTCACAGCACATGCACACAGAGTGAGATGTGTGCTGTGACTGACAGCAGCCCTGTGACCCGGCCGGCCACCGGGGGAGTCCTCATCACAAGGCTTTATCTCTCTCTCTGGGCATCTAAATGGAGGTCAGCGCCCAGCAGGCTGCTGCGCGGCAAAGAGAAATCCCATTACTGCCAGCAGCTGTCTGCCTCACACACTCCACGAGTGTTTGGATTGCAGTGATTGTCTGCATTTGTATGCAAACCCTGTGGATACAAGCTGGAGGCTGACTGTGCAGGTAAAATGTCACAGAGGCAAAGCCAAAAACATTTGTTGGTTAGCCTCGGTGACTGATGATTTGTACCACAAGTTACTGCCAGCTTTCACTTGGTCTGTTCAGAATACTGCAGTTTTAATCACACGGCTCTTTTCTTTTTCAGTCTCTTCTCGTCTTATTATTATGCTTCAGTGCGTTACTTATTCTGCATGTGGCGCCAAATCACAACCAGAGTCGCCTGAAGGCGGCGAGTCCCAGGGAAAGAAGCAGACGTCTCCATACTGGAGAACAGCGGTCTGACATGTCCCTGAACCGGAGACACTGGAGACGGTTACTCACCCACAGTGACTGAGGAGGTAACGTCTGTGTTGAACACTAATGTCATCTCTGTGATACCCAGTGAGACATCAGTTTAAATTAGTTTAAACTTCTCTTGATCCTCTTAATTTCTCAGGTTGTTTTTCTCGCTGCTCGTCTCTCTGTACGCTGCACTTTGACTTTGAGTAATGGTTCGAGTCCTGCTGTGAAACCTCGACAGCATCTCGACGTTTGAAAGCGGAGGATCTGAGGTCACGCACATCCTCAGTCATGCTCTGTAAATGACATCATCATGAATAAAAGCAATGACGAGAGCACAAAGGGTTTCCTCAGGTCACACACCGAGTGAGCAGTAAGGCCACGCAGGCGTGTTTCTACGTGTTTTCTACAGCCAGTGGCATTTCCCAGTGTGGCCATTAACAAGAGTGCACGTTTAAAAACTGCCACACTGGTTTCAGTTTTCAAACCCTTCCATTCGGTGTGTACGCAGTCATCATGATGCTTTTGTAACTGCACGCGCTCTGATGTGCTGGAAGAACCAAGCTCTGTATAAACACTGTGACCAGAGTGGAAGTGGGAGCTGAGGAAGACTTAGAGGAAGGCTGTGATGCTGTTGGTCTCTGTGATTGTGCTCTCACACACAGACACACAACACTGATCTCAGAACAGCTGTTTGTAATGATCCACACAAAGCTCTGTGTGGTACAGACTGACACACTGGTCTGCAGACGGATCACAGACGTTCCTGAGACACTCTCACTTCCTCCACACGC